CATGGAACTGGCTGGGCGTGGAAGAACAGTCATTCAAGCAAGCTGAGTAAACAACTGAATTGCGCATCACACACATGCATGTAAGGTGGTGGAGAAGTAAGGGGTGGAAAGAAACCAATCACAGCTAGGCCACTTTAACTTATTCGAAGAGCAACAGAGCACATTTAGCAACATTTTGGGTAGGATGAAAAGTGACTGATACAGATAGGAAGGTATATTTAATATTGCTACTCTGACGCGGGTTAAAAACGTACTGCAGGGGCTGGGGAGATGGCTCAGTAGAATAAGCACTTCCCTGGCAAGCGCAAGGGCCTGAGTTCAATTCCCGGTTCTGCACAAAAAACAAAACAAAACAAAACAAAACAAAACAAAACAAAACAACGTACTGCAGCAGCTCTGGTGAGAAGTAAGAAGGGCCTGATGAAGAGAACAGCTAATGGAGATGGGGACAGACTTGGGAACTATCCAAGACTAGACAGGATTCTGTCAGTTTTGCTACTGTGAGTAGATGCAGGCATCCTTGAGGTACTGAGGTCTAGGTGGGTTCAGGGCCTCCAATAGGATTCTGAAGCTAAGAAGAAGTGTCTACCTACATTGGAAATAAAGATGCAGGGTCAGGGATAAAGCTCAGTGGCTTAAGCATCTGCCTGGCGAGTACAAGGTCCTAAATTTGATTTCTGGTATGAACAAAAGATTTAGGAGATACCTGTGCAGGTAGTTCAAGTACCACTATCAGAGCAGGTAAGTTCAGACAGAAAAGAAAAAGATATGTATATATCTTCCCTCTCAGCTTCTGAGAAGTTTTCTTGATAGAGTAAGTTTCAAATTTACCTCATTTACCACGGTATCCTATGACTAGAAAAGTACCTGACATGAAATTATTTATGTGAACATATTTTCCTTTGGTCAGGTTATTATCTCACCACTGTTAATAAATTTAACTCATCTACGATTAAGTGATGACTTAAAGCAAAATTCATGTTGTTACTGAAATTTTAATTCGTTTAAAAATGTTATATACTTCTTAAATGCCTTAACTTACAGGAGGCAAGTGGTATTAGCAGGTGAAGTTTGAATCTGTTAAAGCTGTGGTTTTTGTGCCTTCTTTCTTGTATCTCCTCGCCAGCAGCCTAGGACAGCAATAGCCCACCATCTATCTGCCCTTCCTTTAGACAACTTGGTTTTCCCCTTTTATTTTTCTTTCAGATCCCCAATGAGACTGCCCACATTCATTGTGCTTCTGCCTATTCACTCTTTGGCCCTTCTCACTGTAGCTGCAGAGCTGTCAGGCATCCACGTGGCTTGAGCAAGGGGAGAGACAGAGCTAAAACGCATGTGCACAGTAATTTGAGAGAAGAGTGAAGTAATTTTGTTTATCCACACGAAAGCAGGGATTGCTCCCACCTCCCACTGCGACGCAGCTCTCTGCAACCCTACCGATCTGCTGTCAGAGATGTCCAGCATCTCTGGCGTTAGGACTGTCAGAAACACTGCAGTCTTTCTTTTGCATTCCATTCTACTCCAAAATCCTAACCCACACTTGCCATCACAGCACTACTTCTATCTTTATTGCTCTTATCGCCCTCTGAATTTATGTATATACTCTGATTACTCTACCTATATCGCTCAGAGGGTAATTTCCTGTCTGGATTGGCTGCACTTACATATTAGTCACTTGAATAGTAAGACCACTGTCTGCATCTCCTTAAGTTTTCACAACAAGAAGGACTCTTGCCAGGTACAGTGGCACACACCTATAACCCCAGGTTCTCGGGAGGTTGAGAGAGAGGATTCCAAGTTTGAGATCAGCCTGGACAACTCAATGCAGTAGTATCTCAAAAAAATAAAGAGATGGGGATGTAGATCAGTGGTAGGGGACTTGCCTACCGCGTATAAGAACCTAGATCCAATCCCCACTTCTGCAGGGAGGAGAAAAAAGTAGTATTTATTCACCCTTTACTCAACTTATGCATACAACTGTAACTTGTATGCAGTTATTTTAATGCAATAGCCTTTTTATAAAGTTAAAGTTAAGATCTATAAATACTACACAGTATCACAATGTTACTTCCTATCTTTTCTATTTGGCCATTTTACTGAATTTTATACTTATTCCAAATCACAGTACCACTATATGTCTTATATTATGCAAGAAAAACCTGGCAGATGAGAAAAAACTCAGAATTATCATCACAAAGCAAAGACCCCCCCAGGATGAGGCTTTTCAGCAGTATTTCTGTTATCAATACAAAGAGAAAATATTTTGCAAGGGAGCAGTTTTTGCCTATTAGCCTCAATATAAACACAAACAAAAGATACACAGCCAAGGACCTGGGGGTGAAAAGCTTAGTGCTACAGAATCCTTTGCATACCCTGAGGCACAAGAAGGAGTAGCTGCCGCCTCACCTACTACTCTGGAGGACAAAGGTGATACCTGTGACTTACCACTGCACTTTATTCACGCTCTGCTTCACTAATTCTCTCAGTCCAGGGGCTTCCTGACTGCAAAGAGACCTTGAGAACAGGATGACTCGTGCAACTGAACTCTCTGCTGTTTAGGCTTTAAATTGCTATTGAGAATATAAAAATAATCTTTGCTTATCAACTAATTGTGTATATTTATAGAACCTTTTGTTTTTCTCTCCAAAAAGTAACATTGAGATTGGTATTTCATTTCGAAATTTTCTTTCAGAAGGTCATATTTAAAATTTGTATATAGATAGAAATGGAGGAATTTGTGCTTTGTTTCACTGTTTTTCCAGAGTGGGTAGCCTTTGCTCAAGAGATCCAAATATAAAAACCATGCAGAAATCTCAGAAGCAGGACAACAACAGACTGTAGGTTCTATCTAGGCGCGACGGTTGGTTCAGGGGACCCACAGGAGAGCAGTCCCCACCTCAGCAGCCCCATTCTGTTGGCTCTTCCTCCGAAATAGACAATCCAGCTACTCCTCACTTCCACCCTCCTGTCTTATTGCCTGCATGAAGGCCCTATAACCCCCCAGGTGATCTACAGTGACAGTCACGTCAGTGATCTGCTGCTCCTCGAACCTGTGAAGTGCATTCCTGTGTCAGACCTGTGTACAGCACTTGGCCCTTCCCTCTGCCCAGCATGCTCTTCCCACGTACAAGTTCATAGAACTTCTGATTTTTGTTCAAATATCCTCATATTAAAGAGGCTGACCCTGATAAGCCATATAAAATAACTCACTCTTTCCTCTCTATAATCTTAAATTTTATTCTTCCTTGCAGCATTTATTATTAACATGGCATATATTTATTATTAGTTTCCTCCACTAGCATGGAAACTTTTGAGGCAAAAGATTTTTTACTATCTTGAGTATTACTGCATCATCTCTGTCTGGGAACAGTGCTTAACACACAGTAAATAATCAACAATGTGTGCTCATATCTTGAAATATAAATAATCATACAGGGCAATGACAATTAATACAACACCTTCCACAGTTAACTGCCAATTGAGCAGCATGTGCCAACAATACCTGAAGGAGCACATGTTAACATGATCCCAGGACTACCTTTCTTCATGATACATCCCTAGACCTTACCAGAGACCACCCCTCGTCCAGGTAAGGTCCTGAGCATGTACACGTTTCAATCGTTTCCTAGGAAATTCAAGTTTTTTTAATTGTGGGAAAATAAATTTGCATCCTAATCACTTCCAGGTAACTCTTATTTTGCATCCTTATTAAAACTACTGGTATGTCAATTTAGTAGACGAAAAATGGGAAAGCTCATAAAAAGAAGAAAGAAGGTAAGAAAAGGAAAGAAAAGAAAAACATACTATATTAGAAAGTGTACTGGTTTTCAAACTGAATTTAAGCCTACTGCTCTGTAAGACCTGGATGGTTATTTTAACTTTCAGTTTCTACATCCATAAAACGAAGATAATCACCTATACCTTTTCTTCCCCTACTCCACTGCAGACTTCTCCAATGAGTACTGGAATACTTACTGGAGATAAGCACTGCTGCAGACAGAGAAGATGCAGTAATACTCAAAAGTAAAGCTCAACATTCATTGAAGAAGTAATACAATAAAGCTAAAAAGAAATCAAGTACATAAAGTAGCTACTCGGGTATACATCACAGGTATAAACTGTAGCCTACTAGAGTTATTTTCACAGAAGTAAAAAAATTACTCTGGCAGAAAATATATGTATAATCTTGGTGTAAGTGAATAAGGGCTGGTTACAGTGGCATATGCCTATAATCCAAGCAATTGGGAGGCTGAGGCAGGAGGACTGTCACAGATTCAAGGCCAGCCTGGGATACATTGTGAGTTCAGCGCCAGTTGGAACTATATACCAAAACCCTCTCAAAAAAATCAAAACAACAACAACAAAACCCAAACGAACAAAAAAGTGGATATGTAAACATACTTCCTTCTCCAGGGAGACAACTAAGAATAAACTTTCTTTAGAGATGACAAAATTAGATCAGTGATTCTCAAACTCGGAGCTTGCTTTAGAATTACCTGTAGTACTCCTTAAAATACAGATTGCTGGGTCCATTTCTAGAGTTTCTTATTCAGTAAGTCTAGGGTAGAGCTGGTAATCTGTTATTTTTGACAAATTCCCAGGGGACGCTGACGCTAATGCTATTGGTCTGGGAATTGCTCTGAGCAGCAGTGAGCTTAAGTGTGCACATCCTAACCAAGCCTCTCCACAGATTAATTCCTTTACTATAATCTTTTAAAAAGCAAAGATCCTAAAATAGTTCACTTATTAACGTCATAACTAACAATGTTTATGACTTTTAGAACATTTTACAGTTTGATAAAAGTCAACTACTGAGAGTCAAATAACAGAAAAATTTCATGTCAATAGTACCCCAGTGGTGAATATTCTGAAAAATAAAGGTAATTCACGAACTCTCATTTCTAAAATTAAAAATCTACATGCAAACAAAACATGGTAGTTCTAAAGGAATGAATGTAGGAGTAATGTGTGATACGCAGATGACACAGAAAAATACTTACAGGTATGAAGACATTCCGTCACAGTAGTTGGCTTGATCAGATATCCTTTACAAATGTAGCAGGTAATGTAAGGATTAAAATCTTTCACCAAGTGTTTCCTTTGGGTAGCCATTCGCAGTTAGCTGGCTTTAGTAGTTCAGGCAAAGAGGGGGAGTAAGCAGATGCACAGTCTGATCCCAGGAGCTGGTGAAGCAGTTCCCAGCAGGATGTTCTGAGACATGAGAACTAACACCCGGCTTTACCATGAGATTGCTGATCATCACTCCTTTTGATGGCTCTGCTTTCCCATATCTGTTTCCAACAGCATTTTAAAAAGATGAGAAAAAAGTGTCAAATTCCTCATATTGTACTAGTACCACTGTTATCATCAGCACATGTCATGCAGTCTAAATTGGGTGACCAGGCACACAGAACATATCCTTTACAGTTAAACCTGTGAGTCTGCAATACTTAAATCGAAAACAGCAACAGGTTCATTTGGTCTGGAACTTCAACAGTCCCCTCCAAGCTGAAGCTCAGAGGTGCTAGCTCCCACTCCTGCAGCTTTCCTCTGCATTAGTGTACTGTGGCTATCTGCCTGACTGTTCCTTAGGAGTTCCTGCTTATACTCCAAGCTATAACACTGGAGTCATTATCCTCCCTAGCAAACAGATCCCTACCTCCAATTTGTATCCTAGGCCCAGTCCACAGGCCAACTGATGTCCTTCACCATGCTGTGCAAGCCACTGTATTTGCATACGGCCTCTCCACCTGCAGTCCATCTTATATTTTGGTATCAAGTTTACTCTGTCCTCTCACATTTGAGACTCCTCAAAGAACATCAATGCTCCTATCTTACAAACAGAAAAGCACATCATATAAGCCACCCTCACCCCGAGCCTGACCCGAAAGGCACACTCAACTTTTTTCTTTAGGTAAAATGAAGGGATAAATCCCACCCCTGCCACTCTGCAGCTTCTGTCTCCTACCCAACAAGCGCTTGCTCTCCTCTCCTCCGCACCCTACTTAGCCCTCAAAACCTTTCCCCAACGCTATCTTCAGTGTAATAACTTCACCTTGATCTTAACTCCTCTCTCCTACTTTCATTTTGCTTTATAAATCCATCCTTTACTTCCTCTGTCAAATTGAAACATCCTCAATAGAAATGCCACATCTAATGGCCATATAAGCTAACAATGTCACTTTCCTAAGTCTGTTGGTTTTTTACCTGTAAAAATGGAAATAACAGTGTCAGCTTCCTAGAGAGTGAGAGCACTAAACACAGAGCTATCGAACACTAAGAACGAAGAAAAAACAAAAAACAAAAAAACAAAACAAAAAACCCCCCAAAACCCAAAACAAAAAAAACCGGCATTAAATTTGCTCGCAACTTTTAGCACACTTGGCTCGCACATTAGGCCACTCTACAAAAGTTTTAGGAGGCCTGGTGTGGTATGAGTGGCTGTAATCCCAGGGCTGCAAGACCAAGCTCCTGCTCAGCCTGGGCGATCTAATAAGATGCCGTCTCAGAGGGCAGCAGGGTGAGGGCGTGGCTCCGGGGCAGGGCACTCGCCCGGCACGCAGGGTGCCCCGGTTCAATTCTCAGTATTGAAGTTGCGGGAAAGTTTTTGGCTTACAAGGAAGTCGACCTCTCAGAAAACAGAACATGAAAGGTGACCATTTTCTGAAATTCATTTTATAAACAAGAACACTTCCTCTATCGTAGCTTCAAACTCACAGGCAAGTATGAAGGAACCGCAAAGGTAAAGAGCAGCAGTGAATTCCATCGCCCTAGCGCGCCTACGCGAACGCGCGGTAGGTGTGCAACACCCCGTCCGCCGGGAAATGGTGCTGGGCGTGACAGGAACCCTCGCTCACCACGACACCGGGTGGCGGCCCCGGTGCCCTGCAGGAACGCGCGCACTCAACTCGCCTGGGTTCCGTCTCAGACTCCGCTCGCCGGGGCTAACCGCCTGCCTTGGCCGCAGGTCTGCTCCGAGGCTCCGGAGGAGACGCGGGTCCCGACCCGGGCGCGCGGGCGGCGCGGGTCTCGGCGTGGCGCCCTCCGGCCGGCGAGCGGCGCGG